GATTACAAATGTCCCCCTTTCCCCCCCCACTGATTCCCTCCACCCTGCACCTCCCCCCCTGGCTTTCACCACACTATTGTCCATTGTGTCCATGGGTTAGGCATTTATGCGTATCTCTCCCCCCCCCACCAATCCTGCCTTCCCTCTGAGATTCCTCGGTCCGTTCCATGCTTCTGTGTCTCTAGATCTGTTTTGTTCATTGGTTTATTTTGTTCATTAGATTCTACATATGAGTGAGATCATGTGATACTTGTCTTTCTCTGCCTGGCTTATGTCACTTAGCATAATGCTCTCCAGGTCCCACCATGCTGTCTCAAAGGGTAAGAGATCCTTCTTTTTCACAGCTGCATAGTATTCCATGGTTTAGGTATCCAAGAAGATGCTTGATATGATTTCAGTTTTCTTGAACTTGTAGAGACTTGTTTTGTGTCCTAACATGTGGTCTTTGAGAATGTCCCATGTGCATCTGAGGAGAATGTATACTCTGCAGCTTTTGGGTGGAAAGTTCTGTAAATGTCAAAGAAATCCATCTGATTTAGTGTATCATTTAGAATCACTATTTCCTTGTTGATTTTTTGTCTGGAGGATCTATTCAGTAAAGTCAGTGGGGTGTTAAAGTCCCCTACTATGACTATATCACTGTCAATCTCTCCTTTAAAGTCCTCCAGAAGTTTGTTTTTTCCAGCCTGTGTGAGTCTTTTGTTCTAAGGTGGGTCTCTTGTAGACAGCATATATTTGGGTCATGTTTTCTTATCCATTCAGCTACCCTATGTTTGGATTGGAGCATTTAATCCATTTATATTAAGGTTATTATTGATAGGTACTTATCTATTCCCATTTTATTTCTTTATGCCTATGTTTCTCTTTCTGTTTCTACTTCTTATTACAGCAGACCCTTTAACGTTTCTTGAAATGCTTGTTTGGTGATGATAAATTCCTTTAGCCTTTTTTTGTCTGGGAAGCTCTTAGTCCGTTTTGCTTTCTGATAACATGGGACATGAGGTTGACAGCAAAAAACATCATGTTGCTGTACAGCCTTCCAAGTTCCAGCACAAATCATTGGTCCAATTTTTTAAGATTAATTTTTAAGAAAAACCACTCATCAGTGCAGCTGAACTAATCTAAGCTCAATGCAATAAACACTCCAAACTTGTAGAGATAAACACTGACGTAGTCCATTTTTAAATTTTACTTTGCTAAGCTCTCCAAGTTCGGAGAATTCCACTTTGGTGGTGCAGCCAGGAAAAGATTCTAAACGAAAGGCTGCAGGACTTCTTAGAATAAACCAGAGGCTCCAGGTCCTAACCACAGGAACCAGGCTTTCTTCAGCACCACCTATTACAGGCCCTCGAGGACAGTTTCTTCCAGTCATTTACTCATTGCCTCAGGCACACTGAAACCTGAAGCCACGCTGGAGGTCGGCATTAGCTAATGCCCACAGACATTCTCCCCAGGGCCACCTCCAACCTCAGTCACCACCGCAGCCCACAGGGAACTCTTCTTTCTTACCCCCCAAGTCTTCTTAGAGACCCAAAACTACCTACCCCTTGGGAAATTCTGGATCCAAAGTCTGGGTGAAACCCAAGCATCTGTACTTTTAAAAGCACCATGAGTGAGTCAGATGTGTAATCTGGGCTGAGAACAACTGACAGAGGTAGTGTGCTAGGATGTAGCACATACTTTAGGTAGACTTAGTTCCACACTCATCCCTACCACTTCCCAGCTGTGAGACGTTGAACAGTTTACTTTTCTCCAATCCTCAGCCTCCCCAACTGAAAATGAGTTGTTGTATCAGATAAAACAATAAATATGGTTTCTAGAAAGAAAAAAAAAAAAAGAAAAAAAAATGAAGGAAAAAAAGAACACTTCATATTTGTACGCTGTTTTATTATTTAGAAAATGCTTTTACACATACTATGTCAAATGGCAAAAGCCTACTAATGTTATGGGGTGAATGGATATTATAATTATTACCATTTTACAGATGAGGATACTGGGATTGAAGTAAATAGGTTAGAGGGAAAAAGGTCACAGAGTTAGTAAATGTCAGAGGTAGGACTCAATCTAGGCTAAGTCCAGTTCTAGACCATTTCTCTATGCAGTTGGTATAAATTCCCAAGTACATTTTTCTTTTCCTCAGATTCTTTTTATTTATTTTATTTTATTTTTTCCATCACCATTTATCCCCTCTATAAGGGCACACCACTTTAAAGATTGCTGATGCTGTGTATCCTGCTAGGACTAAGCACAAAGCAGCAGGTCAGCAAATGCTGACTGGCTGAATGGCAATAACAAGCACAAAGTCAAGCTGAATAAAGGCTCCAAGCAAAAGGAAAACCCTCACTTTTCAAAAGAGTTTCATTTTGATGCACACATTAATCGTAGCCATCTAGGATCTTAAACCTATGTGCTCAGGGCATGTATTTTCTTTTCTCTAGCTTACTTTATTATGAGAATAATACATATAACAGACAAAATATATGTTAATTGACACATCATGTGTATTTATGTTTTTGGTAAGGCTTCAGGTCAACACTAGGCTATTATTTAGTTTTGGGGGAGTCAAAAGCTATACAGATTTTCAACTGCATGGAGGGTCAGGACCCCTAACCCCTGTGTTATTCAATGGTCAACGGACTAGTTAAGTTGAAACTAACCCAATGTTGTAGAGTTAATTGCTTCTAGTATGAAGGTTAAAAGACAAAAGAAGAAAAATATGATTAAAATAATTTGTGTATGGATACACGATATAAAAATGTAAATTGTATCGTGAAAAACATAAAATGTGGGGGGGACAAAAATGTAGAGCTTTAGAATGCATTCAAAATTAAGTTGTTATTAACATAAAACAGACTATTATAAATAAGATGTTTTATGTAAGCCTCATGGTAACCACAAAGAAAAAACCTATAGTAGATACACCAAAGACAAAGAGAAAGAAATCCAAGCATGCTCCTACAGAAAATCACCAAATCACAAAGAGAGCAAAAGAAGAAGGGAACAAAGGAATTATAAAATATCCAGAAAACAATTAACAAAATGACAATAAGTCTATAACTATAATTACTTAACTATAACTACTTTAAATGTAAATGGAATAAAATCTCTAATCAAAAGGCATAGGGTGGCTGAATGAATTTTATAAAAACCAACAAGACTATATGCTACCTACAAGAGACTGTTGCCTACAAGAGACTCAATTCAACTTTAAGGACACACAGACTGAAAGTGAAGGCATAGAAAAAAACATATTCCATGCAAATGAAAGCCAAAAGAAAACTTAAAGAAAAAAATCTGGATATATATATCCCATATTCTTTATTCATTCATCCATGGTCTGACAGATTGTTTCCATATCTTGGCTATTGTGAATAATGTTGCAATGAACATGGGGGTACAGGTATCTCTTCAAAGTACTGATTGAATTTCTTTTGAATATATACTCAGAGTGGGATTTCTGGATCATATGGTAGTTCTATTTTTAATTTTTTGAAGAACCTTTACATTGTTTTCGATGATGGCTTTACCAATTTACATTCCCACCAATGGTGTACAGAGTTCTTTTTTTCCTCACAATCTTTAACACTTGTTATCTTTTGTCTTTTTTATAGTAGCCATTCTGACAGGTGTGAGGTGATTTTTCTTTGTGGTTTTGATTTACATTTCCCTCATAATTAGTGATGTTGAACACCTTTTCATGTACATGTTGGCCATTTGTATGTCTTCTTTTGAGAAATGTCTATTCAGGTTCCATTCCCATTTTTTATTTGGTTGTGAATGCATGTATGTATTTGCAATTGAGTTGACTGTGTTTCCTATATATTTTGGATATTAACCTGATATTAGATATATGGTTTGCAAATATTTTCTCCCATTCTGTAGGCTCTATTATTTCCTTTGCTGTGCAAGTGGTTTTTAATTTGATGCTACTCTACTTATCTATTTTTGCTTTTGTTGCCTGTGCTTTGGGTGTCATGTCCAAAAAATCATTCCCCAGATCAATGTCAAGAATGCTTTTCCCTTTGTTTTCTTCTGGTAATTTCATGGTTTCAAGTCTTATGGTTAAGTATTTAATCCATCCAAAGTTTCTGTTTTGTAAAATAAAAAATTCTGGAGACAGAAGGGGGTGATAAATGCACAGCAGTGTGAAAGTACTTAATGCCACTGAGCTGTACACTGAGAAATGGTTACCATGATACATTTTGTTATGTATATTTTAGCACAATTTTTAAAGGACAAATTAAAAAATTAAGAATGTTAAAGTTTTGTTTGACTAATGCTGTCTAGACTACTGAATATGTAATCTCTGATCTTCTCTTTTCCAAATCCTACCCAAATCTTCAAATTCCAGTTCTAATTCCTCCCAAATTTCTTACAACCTCAAAATAATGTCACTTTATTTTCTGGAGTCCAAGAATTATTACTCTCTAATGAGTTCATTTGGCAAGTAATGAATTTCTGATTGGTGATAGTTCTTCCACTGCAACCTTGCAAAATTATTTAAATATTTGTATTTATAAATAGTTATATTTGTCTTGATTCCTCCACTAGATTGAATCTTATCTGAGAGAAGGTGGCAATGTCCTATTCTTAGTGTCAGTAAAAAGGACAAGACTCTAGAATTTATGCCCAAGTTTGATTAATGAAGTATTATAAAATATTCCATTTTTATCTCACTGCACTGTTTCTTTCACTTGGTAGATTGCAGGCCATCCTTCCTCGAGATTCTCTAGATTGATTGAGCTCTAGACATTTGCAGTGGATCTGGTTTTCACTAAGGTCTGAGGCCATTGGGTGCACATGGGACTATGCCCATCATTCCACTGGGGAATCAGCCAACAGCAAGCTATTAGAAAGCACCCCACTTCACATTAGCTCACAAAAAGTGCATGTGGGATAAATTTTTTGCCCCCAACTCATGCCCAAGCTACCTCTCATTTTCTGACTCAGGATGGCATCACTCTTGCACTCATTCCCTAGTCTTGGTCAGCCTGAGTCATCACAGAAGGGTCCAAAGAACACACCAGTTACCTTTGCATCGCTAAAAGGTTGCCTTTATTTACATGCTGATGTTCACCACAGCTGCCCCATTAGCAGGGAATACAATCAAGGGTTCGGATGAGACAAGCCCTGTATCACCCAGAGAACAACCAGCTCCAGTTCCAAGAACACAACTATTTTTCCTTCCCCATACCCTGGAGATGCATTCTTTACAAAGAGGCTAGGCCAGAATGTTATCCTGGACCCTCAATGGCTCTTTTGCACTCCTTTCTTGATCAGTCCCCACCATCATTGCCCTTAGGCACAGAAAGGAAGCAGAAGAAAGGGGCAAGATGTGGCTAATTCTTATTTGAAGACAGCCCAGAGGAGGGGGAAATGCTGGATGTGGTGGAAAACATCATAGGAGAGGATTCTCTGGAGGATTCAATAGTGGAGATCATTTTGGGTTGTGTTTCAGGATGAAGGACCTCTATGGAGGAAACTGCATCATTCACCTTCCAGGCAAGTAATGCAGTTTGGAGGTGGCCTCTCTGTTGGCCTCCCAGGTGGGTATTTGCATGGGATCAAAGGCCTTGGAGGGTATCAGTTGTCTAGTATCAACCTTGCAGGCATCAGTGGTTTGATGTTTCCCTTGACTAGCTCTGTGGTCTTTCTTCTTGGGGACTACTGAGGGCTGGTGAGAGCCTGGGTAGTTTCTTTTGCTGTTGGCTAAATCTGGATAGAGAGGTTTTAGATTCCAAGGTATATCTTTAACTCGAGAGGGTTGCTCTGTGGATAAATTTGAAGCTCCTTGATCCTTACTGTTTCCCGTTTGGAGGTTTATACTCTCAATATCTGTGGGATAGAAAAGACAAGAACACAGATGCCTCGTTTCACTTCTCCAATCTTTGCTGGTCATGTGGTGAAACCTTAGTCATCTTTAAAATGTTAGTCCCTCACTTATCATCTCAGGTTCTTTCCCCCTAGTTCTTGCCCTACCCCAGACTTTGTACAGATTTTATTATGGTCTCCCAATTCATCATGGTGCAGAAGTTTAAAAGCCTATTATGTGAGGTTCTAGCTCCCCATGGAAGCCCTCAGAAGACAGAGACTGACATTTACTTAAAGTTCATGCATTCCACAACCACTGCTTCCAAATCAGTTTGAATAGCAAAATAAACACATCCTCTATGAGCATAAATACTTTTTTAAGTCTAAAGACTGTGTCTTGCTTGTCACTATATACACACATAGTGCCTAGAAGTGCCTGTCACACAGTAAGTGCTCAAAACATAATTTTTATCTAACTCACTCATAGGAAAAATAACAGGTAGAGACATCTAGTTAAAAAACTGACTCTTACCAGAGACAAATTAAAAACTAGATAATAGACAAAACCAAGAAAACATCTTAAATTATATAAGAATTTACAATAAGGGGAGGAACTATGGGGCCAAAATCTAAAAGAAAGGGAGAATCCAAAGAACTCAGTTATTTTTTTTCCCTGAATGTAATTTCAATCTGGAAGAAACAGCTGCACACATGAGCGTCATCTTTTGTCAGCTTCACAGGAGATTTTTTTATTGCTGCTGAGTTGAATTTGTAGGTCAATTCCATGACAACTAATACCTATGACAGTTTTGCTGCTTCATGGATGCGGTGCACTGCTCTGTCTGAGTCTGCTGTCTCTTAGTAAACCTCTGTAGTTCTGAGTGAACCATCATGTATCTTCTTTGCAAGAGCTTGCAAATTTACCCTTAAATTCATTTCTATTTTGTGTTTTTATGCTGTTGCAAATGGTGCTATTTAAAATTTTTTTGTTTCCAATCACTCATTGCTAAGACAAAGACATACAATTGATTTTTCCGTATCCTGAGACACTGCTTAACTCACTTATTAGTTCCAGTAGGTTTGTTTGTTGTTTGACCCCTTAGAGTTTTTTAAATGTAATTAATTATATCTGCAAATCAGGAGTTTTATTTCTTCCTTTATGCCTGTCATTTATCTTATTAAACTGGCTACAATCTCCAGCACAATGCTGAATAGAAGTGATGAGAGCAGGTATCCTTGCCTTATTTCTGAACTTACGGGGGAAACATTCATTGCTTCACCATTAAAAATGATATTGGCTTGTTAGTAAATGTATTTATAAATGTCTTTGATCAGATTGAGGGAGGTTCATCCCTATTCCTAATTTGTCCAGATCTTCTATCATAGATATCTTTGTATTTCTTATTCAGTTTTTTTAAATCCTCACCCAAGGATATATTTTCCATTGCTTTCAGAGAGAGTGGAAGGGGGGAAGGGGGGGGAGAGAGAGAGAGACAGAGACAGAGACAGAGACAGAGACAGAGAGAAAGGGAGGGAGAAAGAAACATCATTGTGAGAGAGACACATCGCTTGGTTGCCTCCCACATGCACCAACCAGAGCTAGGGATCGAGCCTGCAACCGAGGTACGTGCCCTTGACTGGAATCAAACCCAGGACCCTTCAGTCTAAGGGCCGATGCGCTAACCACTGAGCAAACTGACTAGTGGTCACAGAACATACTCTGTAAGATTTCAGTTTTTTGAAATATATTTATTGAGACTATTTTATGGTTTGTCATGTGGGCTGTTTTTGCACATGTGCCATGCCATATACATTTGCAAATATTGTGTATTCTGCAGTTGTTGGGTATACTATTTTATGTCATTTAGGTGAAGGTGACTGAAAGTGTTGTTCAGACATCTGCATCCTTTCTGTTTATAGTCTTCACGTGTTCAGTTGCTCTTTCAGGTACTGAGGGGGGAATGTTATTATCTCTGACCATAAATCTCTTCCATTCAGTTTTTGTTTCATGTGCTTTGAGGCTTTGCTATTAAGTGCATACACAGTTATAATCATAATACCTTTCTGATATATTGACCTTTTCATCATTATGAAATCTTTGTTTCCAGTAATGCTCTATGTTTTTAAGTGTATTTTTTCAGCTATTCCTTAGGCTGAAGTGGTGGTGGTGCAAGATGTACTCAGTGTTGGAGGCTCTATTCCCCTCAACGTGAAGGGACCTGGACTCAGGTTCTGGCTTCTGCCCTGCCTTCCTTGTTCCTTCCAGGATCCTAAACTTAGTCCTGCACCTTCTAGGTGTTTCCTGGAGGTACTCAAAAAGCCTTTCGATACATTTTCTTTTTGCTTAGATCAGGCAAAAATGGTTTATGTAACAGCAAACTAAAAACTCTTAAAAACAGGGAAACTTATTATTTTCTACTCTCCTTATTTTATCATCATTTCAACATGGTGGGGTATTGAGGTCAAGTTAATTGAGTACTTTTTCTAAGGCATTATAGCCACTTCCTTCATTCAAATATATACATATGTTCAAATTTTCTTTCAAAAGTTCTCCATGAAATCATCCATGATTTCCTCACCATTTTCATATTCTTTTCAATTCTTGGTTGGATTACTGTTAATGTGTGTCCCCAAATTCACATGTTGAAGCCCTAACCCCCAATACCTCAAAATCTGACTATACTTGGAAACAAAACATTGAAAGAAGTGACGAAAGTGGGGCTGTTAGGGTGGACCCTAATCCAATCTGACTGGAGAAAAAAAAATTTGGACACAGAGAGACAGTGAGGATGCATATGCACACAGAGGAACGGCTGTGTGAGGACTTCTAAGCCAAGGACAGGGGACTCAGAAGAAACCAAACCTGCTGACACAATGATCTTGAATTTCTAGCCTCCGGAATGATAAAAATAAATTTTTATTGTTTGACCTGCCCACCTATGATATTTTGTTATGGCAGCCTTAGTTTAGTCATACAACTACTGGAAATCATAAGATATCTGGAATACAGCCTTCAGACCTAATAGCCACTAGAGTGATCTTAAAATCCATGTAACTCAGAGTCACTTGAAAACCCTCTTACCTTCAAGAGATTTGGGTAAACCTTCACTTTCACAGTATAAAAGACCACTGTCTTCCGTTTAATTTATTCCAATTTCTGAACTTTTTTTTTATGGTCCCTATGGCTCCATTCCTGACTTGTAAGTATTTTATCAGTTCAACCCTCTACCACTGGTGCACAGCATCTCTGGACAGTCACCACTGTCCACAAGAAATTAAATTAATTCATGAATCTGTGACTTTACTTAAGACTCCAGGAGGTTTGAAAGGAAACTGCATCATGTACTGCACACTCCTCTGCTTCCTAATTGGTTTTCCCTTTGCCATTGCACTGGCTTCCCAAACCAATAAATCACTGTGTGATTATCTCCTTTTGAAAATTAAAGCTAGCTTCTCTTCCCCTTGCTGAACCTATCTTCCTTCCTCAGCTTCTGAGTTCTTCTGTGGAATAATAAATTATTTTGTTAGTCCATCCGTCTACACAGAAACCTAGCATATTGCTCCCTTGTTTGAAACTCCTTTACCATCACCTGACTGCTTATTTGCAGAGCCTAGACTCTAGTCCTGCAGCTAAGACTCAGGATCCCTGCTGTGTTCCCTCCCCCCACCCCACCTCCAACACACATTACCCACAATGGAAGCCCCATAAAGCACATTCAGTCCTAATTGGCATGGAAGCCTCTCTGTCCTGAACCTGGTGTCTAGTCCAATGGTGTCAATTGCTGTACTTTTGTCTGCTTCCTTGCTGTTTGCTGTGGGCCAACCCTCTGCTCTCTTGGGCCACCCTCCATAGACAGTTTTTAGTTATCTTCACTCATTCTCAGAGTGCCTGGCAAAAAGTGTGATGAAAGAACAAATTAACAAATAAACACCATGTTTAAAATCTTCCAAGGAGTATCATTGTTTAGAGAATAAAGACCAAAATGAAGCCTGATCTCAAAGGTCCTCCAGAATCTGTGCCCAGCTACACTTCCCAACTTCTCCCTGGTCCCCACCCCTCAATTTCCCAGACTCCTTCAGCAGTGTCAGAGACGTGGAAAGGAGGCCCTGTGACCTGCAGGGAATGGGTAGGAGTGGGGTAAGACTAACTTTACCTGTGTGACTGCTGCTGCTCCCCAAGACTTTTAGTTTTTGGTTCTCTCTCCACCTGGAAGGAAGAAGACTAACCATGAGCCTTGGAGACTTTTTCCAAAAATCAAAATAATCCAAGGCAGTAGCCAGAAAAGAAACATTATCCAGTAAAATTCTCATGTAAGCAGAGGATTTGTACTTTTCCCCTTTAAAGGATAACTCACAAGTGAAGAAATGATGGGCATGGTGAGGTCTACACAACCACGGTCTCCTCTAGCTAAAATTCTTCTACCAGGATGTTTCCCCTCCCACCTCGAACCCTGCAATCCTGTAGGATTTGCCTAGCAGAGATTCTCAAATGTCATTTTCCTGGGCAGAAAAAGACTACCGCCTAGAAAAGGACAGTGATTTTCCCAGGTCCCCCAGCAACTAAGGGGCAAATCGAGGGCTAAAACCCAGGCTCCCAGGTTTGTGAACTTGCTGTTTACACAGCATCCCGCTATGCCCAGTTTTGTGGAAGGTGGGAAGATGGAGGTCCTTGTTCTGGACAGCCTTTGACCCCTGTCCTCCCCCATGTGATCCACATAGAACCTGTGGTAACAGGCTTTAACTGAGCATTAGTGACAGTCCTTATCCTTAGAATGTCTTGTGCTGAGGAGGAGGAGGGGTGTGATGAGCTGCAGGCAGCATATGAAGAAATGAAGAGTTCAGATGATTAACCCTGTCTTCCTGAGAACATGCCATGAGGGATGGATTACAGGAAGAGTGTAACTGTTTTTCTCAACTTTCCATAGAAACATTTATACTTCTATTTTGAAAAATGAAAGTAAAATTATAAATATAAAACAGTATGGAGATTCCTCAAAATAGATATACCATATACCCCAGAAATTCCATTTCTGGATATTTATCCAAAGAAAATGAAAACACTAATTTGAAAAGACATATATACCCCTATTTTCATTGTAGTATTATTTACAATACTCAAGAAATAGAAGCAACCTAGGTAGATAGACCTAGAGGGTATTTTGCTAAGTGAAATAAGTCATGCATCGAAAGACAAATACCATATGGTTTCACTTATATGTAGAATCTAAAAACAAACAAACAACACAAAAATAGATTCACAGAAATAGAGACCAAAGTAACGGTTACCAAAAGGGAGGAGTGGGGGGATGGGTGAAAAGGGGAAGGGGGATATAGTCAATAATATTGTGATAACTTTACACGGTGACAGATGATTATCAGAATTAGTAGGGTGATCATGTTGCAAGGTATAAAAATATTGAATCACTATATTGTACACCTAAAACTAATACAATGAATACAAGATTGTATATCAACTCTATTTAAGTTAAAAAATAAATTTAAAAAATTACAAATGTAGGCTTACCAATGAAAATAAAATATGGCATAAATGATAACTGCAGAAACACAATCCATGAGAAACCACAAGAACATATAGTAACCCGGCGTCTACAAAATACAAAACAAATCACGGTCAAAAAACTTTATAGTTGGAAGGGATTTTCAGTCATATGGGCCAACTCCCTTGCTCTGCTGCCAGGGCTGGGGATGGAGTGGCAGGCCAGGGGAAGGAAGCTTGTTTGATGTGGTGACCTCAAACACAGAGAATACCTGCTGCTGTCCTAACAATCACCCCTTCCATGTGTGGGGGCTCTATAGGGAATGAAACTTCACACCCTTCATCTCCCTTGACTCTCAACACAGAGGCCCGAGGCAGTCCCGGAGAAGTCACGTAGCAAGTCCGCTCTGGACCCAGGACTACAGCCCAAGTTCTTGAGTTCCACTGCTCTGTGTTTTCCTGGCATGGCTTCCCAAGCCTGGCTGTGCATCCAAATCTACCTGGGCAGCTTTCAGTAATACAGGTTTCTGGGTCTCCCTACAGAACTCAGGAATTTGAGTTCCTGCATTTTTAACAAGCTCCCCAGGTGATGCTGAAGCAACCAGTCCATTGCCAGCATTTAGAAATCATTGTTCTCTACCATGATGTTTCAAGTAAGTAGGGAAATTATAATTCTCCCTCACCTAGCATGCCCCCTGCTCCACTCTCCTTGCCTGAATCGCCACATCCCAGAGCTCCACCTGCTGGGGCCTCTGGTGTGTTTTCCGATTCCCTGGTTCCATCTGCCTTCCCTCCTCTGCTCCTCCTCCTCCATGGTACTTGATGCTACTGGGGCTGGCACTTTGCGTTCTTTCCTAGGCCATTCTCCACCCCATCCCAAGGTCTTGCCTTGGACTGAACGATAATATTAATAAAAACACTAATGATCATCATCATAAGAACGACTAACAATTAATGAGCATTTATAGTAGCTAAGGAAGTGTCCTAAACACTTTAAGGGTATTTTCACATCTAATCCCCACAACTGCCCTACTAGGCAGGTACAGTAGCAGCTCTTAACCAGCTTCCACTAAAATGAGGCCGTTAATCCCCTCTGGGAAACATACTGACTGACGCTTTGGCCTGCTCCTGGATGCCCACCAGGTGAGCATCACCAAGCAACACCAAGAATAAGTTGTTCTTCCGCCTCAGATGGCTTAGAACAGTTGGACTTATTGTCATAATTGTGCAGTTTAATTAAAGGTTACTGAAATCTGCGAGGAAAAAAAGTATGTAATTTTCAAGAAAACTAAGTTGATTTAAACAATTCAATGAAGACAGAGTCGGTCATTTAAAAATAAATTGCATTTGAATTAGGTGTGAGTAAAATGCTATGAGAGATTAGGGCCGGAAGATTATAAAAATCTGGGTGTAGTCCTCATTCAGATTGTTTCTCCCTACGACTGTGTTCTTGTTCTGCTTTCATGAAATGAAACTTAGAAATCACAGCTGGTTCATCTGGATGTTTAAATAAGAGACTACAGAACCCAATCAGCTAAATTACTCTCAAAAACTTTGACTCTATGTCAAAAAATGAAGGAATATTTTAAATTAAAAATAAAATGTGTAAGGTATGTGTGTGTTAGATTATAAAATGACCATAATATTCCTCCCCAAATGCAAGCCTATGAACATTGTGGCCTTGCTGTTCCTCCCCATCAAGAGGTGGAATTATGTTCCCCCCTGCCCCACCTTGAATCTGGACCTGGACCTGGACCTGTGACTGTCTTTGGCCAATAACAGAACATTAGCAAACAACACTGGGAGAACCTTGAAAAGAACTTGTGTGTTGGGGCTTGACCTCTCTTGCTGCGAGGAGCCCATTGACACTAGGTGAATATGCTCAAGCTGGCCTCTTTGAGGATGACTAACCACATGAAGAGAGACCCCAGCCATCTCAGGTAAGACTCGAGACACATGAATAAGGCCATCCTAGACCACACAGCCCAGCCAAGCTGGCTCAAACCAGGGGAACCACTCAAGCATCACGCAGACAAATATTTGTTTTAAACCACTAAGTTTTAGGTGGCTTTTTTTTTTCTTTAAGTAGAAAAGGCTGATAGACTGTATATTTCTTTTATGATTCTCCACCTTAACTTTTTCAATTAACAGACCAATGATCAGACCAGACTGTACTATTATTATCCCCAATTTACAAATAAACAAAACTGTGGCACAGCAGCAGGTTAACTAACATTTCCAAGCTCACACAGTAAGTGGTAAAGCCAAGATCTGAATCTGCACATTCTAACGCTGGAGTGTGGGAAAGCCTTGTGATACTGGCCCCACCTCCCTGAACAAAGTGACATGGGGTCCTTTAAAAAAGCTCAGGCCAGATGTAGAAGGTGTTTTATTTTAACTTATGTATTCCTTTTTTCTTTTTGACTTTTGAATCTCATTTATTTGTTATCAAATCTCATTTATTTATCAATTTAAGTATTAAAATGAAAAGTGTTATTTCACAAAGTTTTATTTAATATGTCCAAAGGGACAACTTTGAGACATTACTGATTTAGGGGATAGGATTATGGAGGAGTGTGTTGCTTTCAAATTTATGCATTTTTGTGATGATTGAATTTTATATAATGAGCAAGTTTTCTTTGTAATCAATTCTAAAAACAAAAATGGTGAGGGGGAATTATATAAAGACAGACAGGTGGAGAGGTTTCATCTTTGCCAATGGACATGCCATCCAAGGTTTCCTTCAGGGTCACCTCCAGAGAGCTGCTCAAGCCACCAGAAGGGGTCAGCAATTTTACAATGCCACCAGAGGGCCTCAATGTACTATGGCCCTGTGAGATTATGCCCTTGACCTTAGTTCCCTCATTCCTGGTCCTGACCCTGAACAGTTCAGAAAAGGAGGCTAGTGAGGCTAGAGTATGGAGAAGACAACCTGAAATATTTAGGCTTCTCAGGCTTCTCTGCCTAAAGCTTTAATTTTCAAGGCAGTTTAGAGTTTGGGTTATTACTCTGCAGTGGATAATTTTGATTCTTTATTGAGGCTTTTTAGTGTACTAAAGTGGACCTTTAAAAATTATCTAAGAGTGACTAGAAAAGCTATGGGACCTACATAAGATTTCACTCAGGGGCAGGGAAAGGCCTAGCACAGAGAGCAGTTTAAAATGTCAATGGAGAGAAATTAAGCTGTTTTCTGGTGTACATACACCACTGTGTCCCACTCAGGCAATCTACTCTACACAGATAAGAAAAACGGTCTCTGTAGCAGTTAACTGGTTAGCTGGGGCTCCCTCTGAGTGATGAGATTTAGCTAGGATTGTAACCTAGGTCTTCAGGTCCTTAGGCCTCTGGCAATCAGCAGTGGCAGGGCCAGAAGGGGAAACCAAGCTAGGCGACTAGACACTGGCTCTCTTCTTCAAATAACATTTTGTTCAGAACACACAGTTTTACTCGGGAGTGAAGTACACTTGCTTTCTCCCCACACCCCATGCTACTGTCACTGCTGCCACGCCTCTAGGAAGGTGGAGCTGCAGTAACAAAACTCTAGACTCAGACCTCATTCTGAATCTCGCATCGTACAACAATGTACAAGAACCTTAGTATCTTCAAGCTTCAGTTTCCTTATGGGGATAGTAACAGTGGCTAACTCAGAAGGCTAACTCACATAATGCATGAAAAGAACACTGTAGGGATTCAATATTAACAGCAGTTATAAGAATACCAATTGCTCCCTGAAAACCACAGAAGGACCTGGATGAGGAAAGGGAGAATGCTACACCTCCAATAAAAGTCTCTGCTCTTATAGTTCTCCAGGCAACTACACAGTAGGCAATATACAGGTGGGGTGGGGGTCATGAACTCCTGCTATCCCAGACTTGGAAGGACAATCTGGACAGTCAGCTCACCATGATGTAGGAAGGGTCATCTATCTGCCTCAGGAGCTCTATGTTGTCTGTGGTCACTGAGTGAACCCTGGAGCACCAGGCCAGCGAGAAGAGCCAAGGCTCATTGATGACATACAAGTTGATCGTGATGTTAGCATCTCTATACTCTCTGTAACAAAAACAGAACCCATGGGGCATTAGGCTTTGTCTGGCTCTCATCATCTAAAAGGGGAACAGCCACTAGGTTTGTGAAAGGCTGTTGCTTAAATCACCAGAAGCAGCTGGTCCTGAAACAACTTATGACATGGAATGCAGAACGGGCTCGTGTTGCATCGAGATAAAGGACTTGGATTTAATACCTCCTGTGCCAATGGTGGGATTTTAGTAAACTAGATGAACTGAGATTAAAGAAGGGAGGGGAAGGAAGGGGAGAGGAGGGGAGGGAGGGGAGAGGAGCCCTATTTGTAGTATTTGCTAATTTCCATGGTGTAAATACTCCTACCATAGCCAATTTCAAGCTCCCACTGGTAAAACAGGTTTTCAAAGTTTCTGATCATTGGCTCCCACAAGCCAGTATGAACAAGGTCCAGCACATTACTGGGTAGCAGCTGTACTTACTTCCATCAAAGACTTGACAACACGCTACTCTATGTGCTCTCCTATGGGTCTTCTTCACTTGAGTGTAAGCAAAATAAAGGCAGAGAGTATGTCTTATTCATCTTTGTATATCCAGTACCTAGCATAATACCTGCATTCTTAGAAAGTAATTGAAGGAATGAATAAATGAATACCAATCTGGTGAGTATTTACATTTCAAATATAAAGAACTTTTACAAGTACTGAGTAAGGAAAATGCAACCAAACTTTTCCCAGTGCACTGAATGTCAGTAGATACTTCTGCACTGTCTAGAGAGACAGGAAGAAAATAAGCAGAGAAATATTTAGTAATTCAAGTTGTCATTTTCAGGGATTAAATTTCTCAGAAAATATACCATCTAAGTGTCTTCAAAAATTTTTTTGAAAATTGAGTTGGTATAGAATATACCAACAGCTCTGTATAAGCCTGAGTTTCAATCCCAGCTCTGTCATATACTGACGAGGCAAGTTCTTACACTCAGTATATAAACTAAAATAAAAGTAATAATAATATCTTTGCAGGAATGTTATCAATTAGCTACCCAATATGTCTCTAAGACAATTCTAGATCACCTAAAGACACATAAAAAATAGAAATAAGCCCAGCCGGTCATGGCTCAAAGGTTGAGCATCGACCTAGGATCCAGGAGATCAGAGTTCGATTCCCAGTCAGGGCACATGCCCGGGCTGCGGGCTGCAGCCGATCAATGACTCTCTCACCATTGATGTTTCTATCTCTCTCTCTCCCTCTCTCTTCCTCTCCCTGAAATCAATAAAAATATATTTTTTAAAAAAATAGAAATAAGAGCCCTGGCTGGCGTGGCACAGTGGTTACAGCATCAGCCCAAGCACCAAAGGGTCTCGATTCTTGGTCAAGGACATGTACCTGGGTTGCGGATTCAAAACCCAGTCCTGGTCAGGGTACGTGTGGGAGGTAACCAATTGATGTGTCTCTCTCACATCAATGTTTCTCTCTCTCCCCCATCCCCTTCCACTATCTCTAAAAAAAGCAATGGAAAAATATCCTCGGGTGAGGATGAGAAAATGAGAGTGAGAGAGAGACAGAGAGAGAGAGAGAGAGAAAGAAAGAAAGTGGTAAAAGCTACTTTTAAAATATTTTTCAACCAATGCACAAAGAATAATCACATTTCTGTATATTAATAATAAACATACAGAGACTGGAATTAAAAACACAATACCATTAAAAATCACCCCAAGGAAAATTAAAAGCTTAGGTATTAACTTAACAAACTAAGTGTAGGAACTTGTAAGTTGAAAACTAAAAAATGTTAGTGAAAGTCATCAAAAATGATTTAAATAAATGGAGAAACACGTGTTCATGGATTGGAAGACCCAACATTGTAAACATGTCAATTCTCCTAAAACTGATTTGCAGGCTTAATGCAATTCCTATCAAAATCCCAGCAACGTGTTTTGTATAATTAGGCCAACTGATTCTGAAACGTATATGGAAAAGCACAACTCCAAAGAAACTAAAATAATCTTGAAAAATACATAATAAAATGAGAGGGAATCACCCTACTCAATATCAAGGCTTACTATATAATTACAGTAATCAAAACAGTATGGTATTAGAAGGCCTAGATACATAGATCAGTGGAATAGAATTTAATGCCCAGAAACAGGCCCACACAAATATACCCAAATGAATTTTGGCAAAGGTCCAAAAGCAATTCAATGGAATAATGGGAGACTTTTTTCAACAAATGGTGCAGGAGTAATTGGACAGGCAACTGAAAGGGTAGGGATGGAGCTGGAAAGGAACACAGTTTTATGTTATTGACATTAAGCTGTTATAAATTCAAAATGTTATAACTTTAAGTTAAATGTAATTCCCATGGTAACCACAAATAGGTATAAACCATAAACAAAAGAAACTGAGCAAAGGACTTAAACATTTCACTACAAAATAATCTATTACATATAAAACAGTAATGCAGAAAATAAGGAACAAACAAGCTAAAGGGCATATAGAAATAAAAATAAAATATCAAGTGATGGAAGCAAGATAACAAATATTTACAGAAATGACTGAAGTAACAAAATGCTAAAGTCCCTATCAATAATTATTTGAAAATGTAAGTATTAAACTCTCCAATCAAAAGACAGAGAATGACAAAATGGATAAAAACACATGATCCACCTTTACGCTGTCTATAAGAGACTCACTTCACATTCAAAGACACAGACAGACTGCAAGTAAAAGAATGGAAAAAAATTCCATGCAAATAACCCAAAACAGTAGGGGTGGCTATACTCATATCAGACAAAATAGCTTTACGTCAGAAAAGTTTAGAAGAGACAAAGAAGGACGTTATATGTTAATAAAAAGTCTGATACATCAAGAAGATGTAACAATTGTAAATATTTACACACATAATGACAGATCAGCCAAATTTATATAGTAAAAACTGACAGAATTAAAGAAAAAAACAGACACTCTACAATAATAATTGGCGACTTCAATAACCCATTATCAATAATGGATAGAACAAGCAGACGGAAATTAAGTAAGAAAATAGAGGATTTAATCAACACAAGAACTATATCTAACAGACATATACAGAACATTAAACCCCCAAATAACAGCACACACATTCATCTCAAGTGCATAGGGGGCATTTTTCAGAACAGACCATATATTAGATCACAAATTAAATGTCAATAAGATGTAAAAAACAGATATCATATAAAGTATCTCCTTGAATCACCACAAAGTAAAGTAGAAGTCAATAACAGAAGGAAAACTGGAAAATTTATATATTTGTGGACATTAAACAACACATTTTTAAACAACCAAAGGCTCAACAAAGAAATCACAAGGGAAGTTAGAAAATACATAGGTAAATAAAAATGACAATGCAACATACTAAAACTCATGAGTTGCAGCAAAAGTGGTTCTAGGGGGGAATCAATGCTTACATTTAAAAAACAAGAAAGATCTCAAATAAGCAACCTAACTTTACAATTACTAGAATAAGAGAAAATTGACCCAACAGGGCAAGGGGAAGAAAATAATAAAAATTAGTGCAGACATAAACAAAATAGAGAACAGAGAACCAACAGAGAAAATCAGTGAAACCAACAGTTAGTTCTTCGAAAAGATCGACAAAATAATAAACCTTTAGCTAGATGCACTAATAAGAAAAAAAAGAACATACTCAAATTACTTAAATCAGAAATAAAAAGTGGGGACATTACTAACAATTTTACAGAAATAAAAAGGATTATAAGAGAGTACTATGAACAACTGTTCTCCAACAAATTGGATAACCTAGATTAAATGGATAAATTTCTAGAAACACAAAACCTACCAATATTAAATCATGAAGAATTAAAAAATGTAAAGACTTAAATGAGTAAAGAGGTTGAATCATTAACCAAAAATCTCCTTAAAAAGTTCTGCACCCAATAACTTCATTGGTGAATTCCCTGAACATTCAAAGAGGAACTAATACCAACCCATTAAAACGAGTACATCAAACAGAAATCAGCAAGGATGTGCAGGATGTGGAAAAATTTGAAACCTTGTGCACTGTTGGTACAGCTGCCATGGAAATCAGTACAATAGTTCCTCAAAAAATTAAAAATAGAATTACTATATGGTCCAGCAATACTATTTCTGGGTAACAGGCATACCTTGAAGACATTATGGGTTTGTTTCCACAACACTGCAACAAAGCAAATATCGCAATAAAGCCAGTCACAAAAATTTTTTGGTTTCCCAGTGCATATAGAATTTATGTTTATACTGTACTGCAGTTTATTAAGTGTGCAATAGCATTATGTCTAAAAAAAAATGTACATGCCTTAATTTAAAAAATACTTCATTGCTAAAAAATGTTAACCATCACCCTGGCCAGGTGGCTAGGTTGGTTGGAGCAGCCATCCCTTACACCAAAGGGTTGTGGGTTTGATTCCCTATCAGGGTACATTCCTATGTTGCAGCCTCAATCATCAGTTGAAGCGTGTAAGGGAGGCAACTGATGATGTTTCTCCCCCTCCTCTCTAAAAACTTTAAAAAAAAAAAATTTTAATGCTAACCATCATCTGAGCCTTCAGCAGGTCATACTCTCTTCTCTGGTGGAGGGTCCTGCCTCGATGTTGAGGGCTGCTGACTGATCAGAGTGGTGGTTACTGAAGGTTGATGTGGCTGTAGCAATTTCATATGACAACAATGAAGTTTGCCCCATCAATTGATTCTTCCTTTCACGAATAATTTCTCTGTAGCATTTTACCCACAGAACTTCTTTCAAAATTGGAGTCAATCCTCTCAAACCATCCATAAGGGTTAGAATCAACTTCTTCCAACCTACTGTTAATGTTGACATTGTGACCTTTTCCTATGAATCACAAATGTTCTTAATGGCATCCAGACTGGGGAAGCCTTTACAGAGGTTTTCAATTCACTTCGTCCAGATCCATCAGATGAATCACAATCTATGGCAGCTAAGGCCTCATGAAATGTATTTCTTACATTACAGTAAGACTTGAAGGTAAAAATTACTCCTTGATCCATGGGCTGCAGAATAGATGTTGTTAGCAGGTATGAAAACAGCATTAATCTCATTGTACATCTCCATCAGAACTCCTGGGTCACCAGGTGCATTATCAATGAGCAGAAATATTTTGAAAGGGATCTTTTCTTTTTTTCTGAGCAGTGGTTCTCAACAGTGGGCTTAAATATTCAGTAAACCATATTGTAAAGAGATGTGCTGTCATCCAGCCTTTTTTGCTCCATTTTATAGGCACCGGCAGAGTAAATTTAGCATAATTCTTGAGAGCCCTAAGACTTTTGGACTGGTAAACGAGCATTAGCCTCAACTTAAAGTAAGCAGCTGCATTAGGCTCTAACAGGAGAATCAGCCTGTCCTTTGAAGCTTTGAAGCCAGGCATTGACTTATCCTCTCCAGCCATGAAAGTCCTAGATGGCATCTTCTCCTAATATAAAACTGTTTCATCTACACTGAAAACCTGTTTAGTGAACTCACCTTCATTCATTATCTCACCTAGATCTCCTGGATACCTTGCTATAGCTTCTGCATCAGCACTGGCTGCTTCACCTTGCACTTACTTCTATGTTATGAAAACAGTTTCTTTCCTTAAACCTCATAAACCTCTACCAGCTTCAAACTTCTCTTCTGCAGCTTCCTCACCTCTCTCAGCCTTCGCAGAACTGAAGAGCGTTAGGGCCTTGCTCTGGATCAATCTTTTGCTTAAGGGAAAGTTGTGGCTGGTTTGATCTTTTATCCAGACCACTAAAAGTTTCTCCATATCAGCAATAAGGCTGTTCTGCTTCCTTATCATTTATGTGTTCACTGGAGTAGCACTTTTAATTTCCGTCAATGAATATATAAGCAAACTGTAGAATATACATACAATGAAATATTACTCAGCCTTAAAAATGAAGGAAATTCTGTAATGTTGAATTTAACATAAATGAATCTTGAGGACTTTGTGCTAAGTGAAATAAGCCAGTCTCAAAAAGACAAATACTATATAATTCCATATATATAAGTCAAAATCATAGAGAGAAAGTAGAATGGTGGTTGCCGG